GAAAAATGTCAAATCCTAAGAAAACAGATGAACTTGCGACAGATTAGTCATAATTCATATCAAACATTGACTTCATAAGAACACGAAGGATTGGAGCTTCAGAAGAGCGCTGTCAGAGAAGGCTGCAGTGTTTCCGTACGTGGTGATTGTGGTTTTCTGAATGCACCCGTTCACCTCCCGGCCTTGGGTAGCTTACTCTCATTACCTCAGCATTACCATTCAGGTTTCACTGCCCTGGTATCGGCTTTCCTCATCAGCTCAGGGGGACTTTAGTTTCAGTCTTTTGTATTAATGCCACCTTGTCGCAGATATGGACCCAAAATGCCAAGTCAATATCGATTTTGCATCATTCATATAGGAGTCCAAAGCTCGGGTTGTGAAGAGTGTGGTTTGGAAGTGTATTAAAAGTGACGCAGAATATGACAAACTGCCACTGAATTGAATAGAATTGTATTTGTCATTGACAGTACAATATCTGTTCATTACTACAGTGCATGCTTCTTAAAGTACTCGCTTATCTTCTCATCATTATTCCAGATGACAAATTGCTCCTCAAAAACACCCTGTTCTGCAGATGAAGGTGCAGATGATCATATAAATCATTATTATGTGATATGAAGATAAATAGACAGAGATTTTGTTTATGATGTCAAAATGATGAAATTAAGGAATTCAAATGTTCCAATTGTTTGTATATGTATGTGTGAGAGGGTGAGAGTGTGTGTGTGTGTGAGAGAATGTGTTTTCAGGCTCTGTATACCGTATATGTGTACAGTATGCATGCCATGTGTGATGATTGGGGAGCCTGTATGTACATGTATTGATAGACTAATTGCACTGACCCAAGGATAGTACAAGGGATATCCCTGTGCAGCCACATGTATTCTCGAGAACATGTTTCCTTTATTTATTTTTGCAATTCATTTGTCTGTTTCTAATGATAAAAAAGTCTTCTCCCAAAGGGTATAATTGTTTTCACCAAATGCTGAATTTGATGTACAGTATCTCCAGTGGCACCTCTGGCTATGTGTGAGTGCACACGTAGTCTCGCCCTGTGCCAGGCCACACCCGCTGCAGAAGGGAGGGGTTTAGCACAGAGCTCTCCTTAAAGCTCACTGCTCTTTGACACATGGTCACTTACCTGGATCAAGGCTAAAACCAGCTCCATCCAGTTTCATGCCAAAAGGCAAGTTTATGCAATAGCCAAAATGTAATCCCATAAATACAGTAGCACTTAAACACTGGGTATGGTAAAAGAATGACCCTGAGAGGCCTTACAAGAAGACATGACTGGACAATCACATTTTGATTATTATACGTACATTTGAGAAATATTGAGCTAAAAAAGCAGCTCTGCCAGTTACATGTCTCTCCATGGCCTCGCACCAAAGTACATCTGTAACATGTTTGTGCCATATGAACCAACTCGAACTCTGAGGAGCACAGGGACTGGCCTCCTGCTGGGACTCTGAGGAGCACAGGGACTGGCCTCCTGCTGGGACTCTGAGGAGCACAGGGACTGGCCTCCTGCTGGGACTCTCAGGAGCACAGGGACTGGTCTCCTACCTGTGCCCAGAGTCAGGACTAAACATGCATTTCAGATTCATGCAGCTAAACTCTGGAACTCTGGTCTTCCTGAAATTGGGAGACTTCTACTCTACTTTTATTATTCAAATCCAGGTTAAAACGATTCAGTTTGTCAGTGCATCCAACTGAAGTATTGTATCTTCACTACTTTTAATGTATTGTGTTTTTATTTATTTAATGCCTTGTATGATTGTATCTGGTTTTGTCAAGCACTTTGAGTTTCCCTGTGCTATACAATTAAACTTAAAACAATGGGGGAAAGGGAAAGGGCTATACTATGGCTTACAGCTGCGAGAAGTGTACTTTGTGTGTATTATCCTCTTTAAGCACCTCTGCAAACTGAGGGTTGAAAATACATCCTTTCATTAAGAACTATGAAATACTATTCAGTCAAAATACATCTTCAATTATCAACGTTTATCCGAATCTCAGGAGTAGTAAATCAACTCAAGTTTAGCTGGCATGATTGTGCACTGGCAGCGAGGTTACAAGGTCCTGCTAAATCACAGATTATATGGTTTATGACATTCTTTTGGGTGTTTTACTCAGTGAAAGGGGCCCCACAATTGGCAAGGATTACATGGTACGCTTTATATTTAGGTATGCACATAAAGAGCGTGAGCTGTAGCACGTCTCTATTAGCGCCATGCAAGAAGCTAATCCTTCTGGAAGCGGGGAAGTAATGAGGCTAAGAGGAGCTGTGTTTCAAAACAAACACGACCAAGGAACTAACAACCTTCAATTAATGGACATTCAGAGGCCCAGAGAGAAGCCGATGGAGAAGTGGCCCTGAACAAGTTGGTAATCTCCACTTGCACCCACTTTGTCCTTGCTGTGAACAGGTGTTATGAATAATCTGGTAAAAAAGTGTCACTGGAAACTGAAATTTTTATGGATTAACACTAGAGCTCGAGTCGGGTTATTCACCCAAAGGAACAAAATGGTTTGCAAATTGTAGTCTGGAAGATTGTGGTTTGTGGAAATTGTTCAAATATTATCCAATGATTGTAAAGAGTATGTGGATGTTCCTGCTGAGGATGGTAAATTCAACCTTACAGATATAATGCAGGATTCTCTTTGGTTCCAGCGGCAAGAATCCAACCAAATAATTGCCAGTGATGATTTTAGAAAATGTATGAAGCTTTCAGGAGCAACGTACAACAAATGTTCTAATCATCTATGGCTGAGCAGCAAATCCATTCACACTGTTTGTATAATAGAATATTGACTAAGAAAGTGTCATCCTGTCAAATCTCAGAAGCTGAGCAGGGCAAGGCCTGGTTAATACATTAATGGGAGACTGCTGGAACACCATACTTGTTTAGTCTGCCCCTGAACGGCTGTGGCTACTATAGTAGTTCATACAACTGTGTATGAAGTAAGCAATCTTTATTTATATAGCACATTTTTACAGACCAAGGTCACCCAAAGCGCTATACAATGGACAGAGTTTAGGTATTGTTTCGTTCTCTCCACACACGGTGACGACAGAAGCGAGACGCAGAACACACTGGCATCAAAGCCCCCGACCAACACCATCCATCCATTCACTCGTTACATTCAAACCTATTGTGCATGTTTTTAGTGGTAGTGGAAACGGGAGCACCCGGAGGAAACCTACACAGACTCAGGGAGAACTTGCAAACTCCACTCAGAAAGGCCATGTTCCGACCAGGATTCAAACCCAGGACCTTCTTACTGAGATGCGAGAGTGCTAACCACTCAGCCACTGTGCCGAAGTGGATGAATAATGCCGAAACCTCTACATAAGTCTGAGGCATCATTACCTCTACCAAATGGTAGAGGGTTATGTTTTCACAAGGGTTTGTTTTGGTTTGTTATTAGTTATGGGCTGATTTTCACAAAATCCTGGAGATGGGACAAACGACTAGATTTTGGAGACGATCCAGATCACTGTCTTGATCCAGGATTTTGTCCAAGAAATGTGCTTTCCTTGTTATTATTAGAATGTGAATATTCTTCTCTCGGACAGGCAAAGGCTGAGAAGATCAAGAAAACAAGTTACAAAGATCCACTTTAAACAATGCTATATTTGTTAATGTTGTTTGGCCGCATTTGCTTTGAGAAATGAAGGTCCCTAAAATAAAATCTGTTGAAAACACAACAGCCAGAAACAGAAACCGTTTCCTTATTTTATATAAAACAATATAATTTGAAAAATAAATGTTTTTACAGACAGTGACATGTTAATAACTGACATAAGCAGGTGGACTAAGGAAGAAGGCTTCAAGGTCCGATTTTGAAATAGTGGTGTTACGACGAGAGGCAAGCAGTAGAATATTCATCAGAGCCATTTGCGAGATGGAAAGCACACGAGACGTCTACGATCGCACACTCACACTTTTGGACAGATAGACACAGCCTACACCCACAGTTTTTCAGACACGTGGCAGAGAAGTGGTAGCATCAGTAAAAACAGAGCATCTATTTAGGGAATGTTAACAAATAAACATTTTTTTGTTGTTTCTAGTTTCTTACAAAAGCACGGAGGGCTCCATATGAGTAGCTGTCTGACCTTACACATAACACTGTATATAGATATATATATATATAAATAGACCAAATTAAATATGGGTAAAAGGAATACTGAAAATATTCTCTAACATAAATTATCTAGAGTGTACTATGCTGTAAAAGGATAGAGTATGTACACATAAAGTAATCATGGTTTTTGTATATAACTAGCGAGACGTCAGCTCTCCACCAAAGAAAAAAATAATTTAAAATACTCAACAAACAAGTACAATTTAGCGAGGCACAGTCGTTTCAAATGGAATAAAACTACAGTATTGGATGTTCTCAGTGGTTTTCCATAGCAAGTACAATATGCTATTCCATGAAGTATCCCTTTACAAATATATATGGCACTCCACAGTCCATAGTCTCATCCCATTCCCAGAGCAGTGGAAATGTCAACAGTTTTGCAGCAATCTTCCGAGAAAAGGAAGACAGATCCTGACACAGTCTCATGGGCGCTTCAAAACGAACGTCTTCTTCAGCGTCCGCCATTGCTGGAGTCGCATTCTCTTGACGTTAACAGACGGAGCACGAGCGCAAGAGATGTTGTTTTTTTTTTTAATCCAGTGATGATGTCGGGGCAAACATTACAATGACGACAAGAGAACGACTGCAAGGCTGTTAGGACGCGAAAACCACGTGACGGCGAGATGTCTTGTTAAATGATGGGTCTAGTTGTAGCAGCATAAAACATCAGTATCATGGTCTATATACATGCAGATGCACAAAGACTTGAGCTTAGTCTTTCCTGGTTTGGTTCTCTCTCAGTCAGTCCAATGGGAATGCTACCGGACAAAAGAAGAGCTTGGGGATCAAAGTGCTGAACCATCTCTACAGTATTCCTTCATCTGGGATATGTGGAGCCTCTGACGCTCTCATCTCGGCTTGTCACATCTAGACGACATAGAAAACACAATCATAAACATGTCAGCGTTATAGACACATTAGGAATAACCTCTACCTAATGTGGTAAAAACAACAAATGCTATGCAGGTTTCTTTTTTTTAGATCACATGATTTTGAGCAAATACAATCAAAACTTACAGCTTATTTCAGGATAATAAAAACCATATCTGGAATTTAACGTTCAGACATTTCTCATTGATTTCAGGCCAATAAATCAGCAAACTGTCAAGTGTCCTCGATTGAACCCATCATTTGTATATGATAGACAAGATCAGACAAGCCCACCGAATGGTTCCATAATTACCTCCCCCGCCGATAGGGGGAGAGGTATGGTGTTCCCCAGACTGTGTTTTATGAGGGAACTTTCTATGTGATACAAATTTTGAAAGAATAGCATCTCAACCTTTATTTCATTCACACAGGAGTTTGCAGAATATTTTTTTTTTCTTTGTGCAGAAGGGAGAAATGCAACCACACGAGTTGGAGCACGTTAGCTTCTGTTTAGCGAAACTTATGGCAGGGCTTCCGCAGACTGAAGTCCAATTTAGAGAACAGTGCACAAAACACCCCTGATCTGTACTAAACCAATGCAAAAAGGCGCACTCTTTCAATCCAGACTGGTTTGTGTGGCTCAAATATGCAAACACAATCTCTGTTTATGTGTTGTTCTGGAACACCTTAAATCATATTGAAGTCATAATGAAGCCCAAATGAACCTGACTGCACTGCTCTCAATGACTCACTTGCACGTTCGCTCATTGAGCTCTAACTGCCGCTCTTTGCAGTGGGCGTCTGAGTGTTTGCAGGAGCAGCGGCATGTGGCTGGGTCCTGCACGAATAACCTCCTTCTTCTTTCCGAACAGTTCTCGCAGCAAGGCTGACAGACACTGTATGGACAGAAAGAAGATCATTAGTATCATTGTTATGTAGAATGATAGTATTACACATGTTTCAATGCTGCAGAAGACACATATTGCATACAGACTTAAAAAAATAGTAGACTTTGTTTGGGACAAAAACAGAAAATCACCCACCGTTGGACCCAAGTCACCACACTATGGCTCGGTTAGGCACTGACATGCAGTGAGTAAAGCTTGTTCATGCAAAAACACTGAAGCTGCACACCACAGTCAAAAGAAGACTCCAACGTCTCGATGCCACATTAACAAATTATTCATTTATTTAAGACATTTGAACCAGATATTGACAAGTTCACATAGTTTCTGTATTACTGCAATAATTACATTCAGTGTTCACAGTAAGTTTGAAGTGATATGATGCTGTGCAAATGTGGAAATCATATAAAGAGTGTCTGACTGTAGGTTGTAGGTGCCAAAGAAACACCTTTACTCTGAATACTGAGCAGTTATAAATCCTTATATTTTTACGATGTAGAGATTGTTGGCAACTTAACGCACACTTTTGCACAATACCGTATCTTCACATGTTAGCATCAAATAAGGGTACTTTTCCCAACACACAAAGACCCTAATACATTTTGGAAAACATTCACAAAATCCTTCCGAGAGGACCAAAGGCGGTATAAAAGAGCGCACAGATAGGCATCAGACATTATCTTGGTGTTACATAAAAAGTACCAGCATTCACAAAACTTGTTTGGAAAGATGAAAAGGAACGAGGAGGAGAAAGGAGACACAGGTAGGAGACGCACGCAAGCCACAGACTCAACACAGAAGACAGGAGCGAGATTAGGATCCCGTTGGTGATCCCTGCCCAGATAGACCCCTACTGTAAGGGCTGGAGTGCAGGGCCATGCTGGTGGGCCTTCGACAAGGGTCAAGTTACAGCCAATCCATATCTTTGACACGAGTGGCGCAACCTGAACCTCATCATTTCACCAATAAGGACTGATCTTATTACAAACATGGGAGGAAGACAGACAGCTTTTTGCTTCTAGTGACTGGTAAAAGTGAAAGGCAACATGAGGTGGAGAATACATCGAGCGGATGGGTAATTAAGTAAATACAAATAAAGTGTATTGTCTAGATGTTCTCACGCTCTTTTAGTTTTCACGTTTGCTTAATCTAGCTTTGTCCAGCTTTGAGTAATTGCTTGGTAACAATGGTTATAGATAGGAATATAGTCTCATTTCGGCCTTAGTGTTTAGTTAGTGCTGTCAACCTGACTAAGAGAGGTGGAGACACAGTGGCTGTATGAGTGGTCAGCTTGGCGCCTTAACTTAAAGGATACATCATAGCGGTCTCCAGAAGGCTATAGGATCAATAGTCTAGAAGTTTTTATTTGCTGACAGCCCTACGACAGAGAACCTACTAAAGAATTGTTCCTGGAGCACTGGAGACCCAACCCTGATCAAAAACAGAAAGCCCCATGATGTCCACTCTTACAGCCACCACAAAAAAAATTAAACAAAAAAAAAAGTCAACTTTAAACTAATTGTTTCTTACCGACTTCAAATACATTTAAACTGGTAAACAGCTAATGGAAGAATTCACAATGTTTGTTGACTATATCCCCCACCTCGAGAATGACTTGTTTTGCTAAAGCTCACATTAGCAAAGCAAGTACACACAGTCACACACACACAGTTACACACACACACACACACACACATACAACTACACATACATACATACACACACAATGAAGCTAGCGTGGCTGGTGTGATGTAAGCGACATGCTAATGGACATTGGGCAGGGACAGTGTGAGGTGTGGTTAAAAGGGGCACAGTAGCTCTTCCCAAATGAGCTTATTTATGAGAAGCGCAACACTCAGGTGCAGATAGGTGGAGAAGGCGGAGCTGACATACGCATCATGTTTTGTTTTGTCTCTGTTTTTCTTTCGCTTTCTCTTTAGGCCTTTGCCCTTGCCTTGCCGGGGTTTTCTGGAAAAGACACAAGAAGAGCACAACAACGCCGAGAGATGTCTGAGATACTGGAAAAAGAGAATGTTTGAAGTCTACAGAGGTGATCTCTACACCAGATAGCTGACAATATTAGTAAATCACAATTGATTACTTCGTTGTTCTGGTAACTATGGAAAAGAGATTGAGAACACACCAACTGTTTTTATGCAAACAGCTGAAACCGATATGAACACGACAATCAATGCCAAATGGCTCCAGAGGAAAAATTTGGGAACTGGGTTAACTGTTTTTAGTGCTTCAATGTGCGCTGTGTGAAGAGTTGGCAGCTTCTCAGAGGGAAACTACAATAAACTTTACCAAACCATAGTTTCTTAATCCGTCTCGTTCAGACAACGATTTGTGGCTTGTTGAAAAGTTGGAATAATGTGGCTGAATAAGATGTACTTTGGTGCTGCCAGGCTGTATGTGTCGTACTTGTATTGTCCGTCTGTGGCTCGACAGGTGGGTTTCAAAATTACACTAATGCTCATTCCGAGCAATTCAAAAACACAAAATATGTCACAAACGGAATTTTGATAAACATACTTTTTTTAACGACCAATTTTCACCTTTGGGAGCTGATTTATTTCAGAATTTTGTTTTATTAAAATGTATTACTGTTTAAATACATTTTCCATTATAAACACCAAAGCAAAAAAAAAGATTTACATAAATATAGTTATAAATAATAAGTTATAAATAATTCATATGGAACTTCCCCTGCAGTAAATAAATGAATGACATTGTGATCTGGATGGCTGCTGTGGAGTTTACAGTTATCCAGAACAGATGTGTGGATTGTTATATCAGAAGTGAATTCTGCAGAATCAGAGAAAGTCAAGGCACAACATGTCTGTATTGGCTAAACTTTGACTGAATGAGTTGGAGGCTGAACCATCCAAATTTAAAAAGAAATAAAACAATCTGTGACATTTTAGCCAATGTCTCCTTGGACTTAAAAATCAGCTCATTTAATCGACAATTCGATAAATCGTTTGGTTCTACACTTCTGAACGCTCGATTCGTCGCCCTTAAAGCAGTGAGTTGTGCAGATGATTTGAAAGTGAAGCCGTGGAAACAAATCACGCGTGTTCTTTTATAGTCAGCGCCAGATAAGCGGCGAAATATATGAAGGCTATAGATTTAGGAATTTCCTTTTGTTTGACGAGTTTCACAACCTCAGCGGGACGAGAGTCGGCCCGACCTCTTGCTACTGTGGGGTCAGCGGCCCACTAACATGAAAGCATGGGATCGTCGCAAACAGCAGTTGAATGACCTTGAGAGTGTCATTAGTGGAGAAACGCCGCAATCTTGAGCTTGTAAACACTTAAAGGCTGGGTTAAAGAGTACGCTTCATCAACAGCTCTTATCTATACGACAGACGACCTGTAATGCGGCTATGGGCGATATTAAGGAGACAGCAGTTTAGTTTGGCTCGCCGGTGTGTGCATGAAATGGGAGTCAGTAAAATGTGATAGTTTAGCAGCTTTTCAAAGCAAAAGCACTTTCTGTAGAGAGTAAGTACAAACAATATGTGCACAAAGGAAAACAGGGAGCTGAGGGTATTGACCCCATCCAGTGTCACTCATTCACCTGGACTTAAGCTGCGTTTCCCAGCCTTATAATCTTGGTTTGATTGCTCGAGCTTTCCCCAAGTATAATATAACTTGGAGGGTCTGTTAAACTGTTCTGGGTCTAACTGAAAAGGACAGTGGTCATAATCCAGGACAACATGCAACAACATTTATGGCCATTTATCATCATATATGGGCATTTGTCCCCTGCCTCTTATGGACCAATGGCTCTATGCATTTCTTGTGATTGAACTGTTGATTCTCTGATCTGTGTTGGCGAAGTCCTCCGAGATAACTGCTGTTGTGATACAAGTTTAATACATTGAATTATGAGCTATGAACTCTTATTGGACTTTTGCTTGCGTAATGCAGCTAATACATCACTCAACAAAACTTGCTTCAGTTTTAGAGGAAATAAATAATAGAAAAGAATCAAATGCAGGTTAGTGGTTAATGTCTGAAAGTGGCACGGTAAAGTTTTGAATGCAGAAAAAAAAGAGCAAATCATATCATGGCCTGCCACTGTAACAAAGGGAAACCAAACGCGGGATTAATAAACAAGAACTTACTTTTCTCTCTGCTCTTTCACCTCTTTCTTTAACCTGAAAAGACACAAAACAAAATGAATGGTAACGTTTCAACAGGTATACAGCAGGGCTTATCCCCAGATAAAATTGCAGCATGAATCATTAAAAATCAGGTTAAGGCATCCGGTGCAGGGACACAAGGGTCGATGGATACAAAACATGTGCAACCCAGAATCAGGAAATGTGGCTTTGACCAAACTGAATGAATGTAATGTGTCTGGAAACTTTAAAACACAGTCAGAGCAAGACTTTGGACAATCAAATATGAGGCTTTACGTGGCGTTATTCTTTCACTTCGCACACAGAGATATTATTTCTAAATAAGTAAACAAAGTGTTTTTCCAATAGCAGATAAATAAAAATATAAATAGATTAACAAATGTTTGATAATTAAGCAAATGGTACACTACTACTACAGCTGCCATGGGGCATTGTATTGACAGCCGATTTGAACCATCCTTCCACCAATTATTCATACACACACTAGATTCATATGAAAGGTGTCTCGCCTAAGACACAATGAAAGTCACTGTGGCACCTGGTATTCCCAGCGGTCTCCCATCATAGTCCTAACTATAAACTAGGCTCGGCCCTGCTTAGCCAGGATCCTAAAGAGTACAAGTCATTATTCATTGACACATATTTGGTGGTGTCCAAACTGCTCCATCGGCCCCCCACCATCACTCACTTGTACACCAGGTGCACACTATGGGGCATATTTAAGAGGATTGGGGAAAACCGGAGGACCTGGAGGAAACCCATCAAACACAGGGGCAGACATGCATTTGTTCCCCCAGAGAGGGCTGGTCTTGCTCTGAGGCAATGACTTTAAACCACGTAACAACCACTGCGCTTCTATTTCACAGGTTAATGTTTTATCGTGGCAGAAATGTCTGTAATGGTAAATATGTTATGTTTTACAGAATGCCCATTTTTGACCACCTGCCCTTCAGTGTCGGTAGGGGACCAAATGATGTTCCAAACAAAACATGTTGTTCCATTCACTATAAAACAACATATAGTTTTAAATTTGATTATAGAGTATATGCCAGAAGCAGGGGTCCTGGTGGTGTTAGTTATGCGTCATGTTGGACATGGGAAGAAGATTTATGGTCCCTCTGTGTCAGCCTCTGTGTCAGTTTCATGTTACTATGTGACATCAGCTGACATTAGACTCTAATACTGAGGGTGCTTGAGGATCCCTTCTTCTGCCAGGCCATTGCCCAATTCCAACAACTTCTTTCAGCTATCATCAAACTTTGATGTAGTGGCTTACATATAGATCACTAAAGGTATTTCATTAAGTGCTGTGACGATAAACTCCACGCAGCAGGAATGTAGAGGCACAAAGCATCAGGCAGTCCTTTTAAAGGAATTGTATTGATCTTTATTTAACCAGTGCAGTCCTGCTGAGATTTTGGAATCTCTTTTTCACAGCCCTTGCTCAAAAGAGAAGAAGCCTCTGAGAAACGCCTGAAGGAAATCTACACAGACACAGGGAGAACATGCAAACTCCACTTAGAAAGAAACCCAGGACGTTCTTGCAGAGAGGCGGAGGAGCAAGTGAACAAAAGTCAGGACTGTATCAGTGGTGGATTCTTACCTACACTCACACGAGCTGTGTTCTGTAAAGCTCAAGAAGATATCATTCTGTTGTTTCTGCGGCTTTATTCTTTTTATCTGAAAAAGTCAAAATAGGAAATAGTCACTGGAACATTTACAAACAGAAGTTCGTTACCTGTAACTGTTAGTGCAAAGGCCAGACATTTTTATAAAATGTTCCTCTTTTTATTAGCATAGATTAAAAAAGTTCTGCATGTTTGTGGTATAACAAATCAGTCGTTTAGAATAAGTTAACAAAATAGTTTGCCAATAGCAGATTGATCTAAAAAATCTAAAAGTAAAAATAGATAAATAGATATTCACTGCAATTAAGCAAATGGATAACTGTCCAGGAACCACCCCTGACTTTAGACAAATAATAATAATCAATAATAACATAATAATAATCCTCTCCATTAGTAAAAACAATAATCTGGTTAAAATGTGTAATTCAACACACAGTCGATAATCTGATTCTTAAAACCCAACCTTTTTACAACAGGCCCACATCTTTCTTTCCTATTGAACATAAAAGCTGTCAGACATTCTACAGGGCCAACAATACATGAGGGACTATAACATAGGCTTGTAAAAGTGAACGGATATGGGAGGGTAGATTAATTGCAAGCACATTGCAAGCAATTAATTTACAAAATAGAGTTTTAGGCCTCCCAAGTTGTAATAAAATGACAGTTATTCTATGAGTGCACCATGAAGATGCAGTGCCCTGAGGGTGCTTCTGCTGCGGCCCCTCAGACAGCATGCTCGTCTAATGAGGCTGGAACAGTTGAACAGGCTGTTCTGTGCTCACCTCCATAGTTACATTGTAACTGGACGTTGGCATACACTGCAACATCTCATCAGTGCAACATCCAGCGCAGCGCGTCAGCACCACACAAGACGGAATGAAGATATGCTCCACGTCCTGAGGATACTCCTGTATGATCTCCACCAGAAGCTCTCGAGGCTTACACAGACTCTTGTTGTACACCTCCATCAGAGGGATCACTGCAGCAGAGGAACAGCTGCTGTTACTGAAGGCATCAGACAAACAACAGCACCAACCATATCACATGCTCAAGTTAACTAAACCCAAATCCTGCTTATGTGGCAGAGGCACAAGTATGATCCATACAAATGTACAGTATCACAGTAAAAATGTGAGCTTTGAGAGGCTGGTGACACCCAGTCCATCACAGAGCCTAATACAACTCCTGTCCAACGGCACAAAGCCTAACCAAACAAACCAGACCAGAACAATATCATAGATTTAGCGCCTTATTGTCCAAATAAGAATAGGCAACCAACTCTACCATTGTGTAAAAAGTAGGTCAAAAGAGTGCTTACAGCAAAGGTTCTCTAATTTAGGATGTAAATCACAGTGTCCAGACTGAATCCAGGGCCAGTTTTTCCTTGAATCCACTGTTAATCTTTATGTATTTTTTGAGTGCCCAGTTATGCGCTGATAAAGAATATTGCCTTATTTCTGTGATGAAGCTTTTTCCACCATTGGTCATTTTCTGGTGATGTGGATCAAAAAGAGCATTTCTGTCCACTAGGAGGCAACCACCTCCTTGTTAGAACAGAGAACCTTCTGGCTAAATGCCATTGAGAAGCCCAGTATTCCCACGGTGCCCAGAGAAACTTACCGTCATGCGGACCTCTCTCTCCTTCCCTCGGTATATGCGCACTCTACAAAAAGAACGGAAGAAAACATAGTATTAGATTTTAATGTTGTGTATGTTGCTCGTTACATTTTGGCCCAATGCAATAATAAACAATACTCTTGGTATCTGTAACTCTCCTTTGGCCTGGAACTTTCCTCTATGCTAGACATCGAGGAAAGTTACACAGTAAAAAGTACAGTCAGTAATTTCATAAAATAAAGTGGCAATTGATTTATAGCTGTATTTTATGAAGTTCAGACATCATTTCAATTCATTCGAAGACGCGCCGAAGCTAAGGAAAACTTCCAAATGCGTGTGTTCCGTGACACATGATACTGGGTAATAACCACAAATGTCAAGAATTTCAGCTGTTTCCCGGGAAAAGCTGTCACTGCACACTGCGTGGGGTCCTGGCCAAGTTTCCAGTCAGTGCGCGCGGTGCCAGACGCACGCAAGCGTCGTGCCGGTCGCTACTGGCAACACCACCGACCTCTATGCACTGTGATCAATGAGACATTACAATATTAAGGAATGAGGAAAAAGGACGTCCTGATCTGATCTGTGATAGATGCTGTGTAAACAATCTGTAAGGTGTTATTACAATATGAGAGTTGCCGGCCCAGTTTGACACCGCCCCTTGGATTTTCACCATTGATTGGTTGAAGATTATCACGAGACCGACAAATAAGTTAAATTAACACGAGTGATTGACAACTAAATTTGACGTGCCACAAGCCATTTACACCATAGTCTTTTCACGCTGCGTAAAATGTGCATCTGTGACGCACGCTGCTTTTTCCACCTTTGCTCACTTACTCCCTGGGCACACGGTTCTTGATTAATGATTAGATAGTTAACGATTACTGTGCCCACTCTGAAAAGCGTCTCTCCTGTGGTTAACAAAGAGTAAAGTAACCTACAGAATACATTATAGTCTCTATAAATAAGTGGGAAACCAAGGATTAGCCCAGGAGTGAACTTGCAAAGACTAATGTCCTATTTCAGAATGGAAACAGCGCGCCGTCAAAGCGTAATCTGCGAGCTGCTATGGACTAGGTCTTCAATCAAACATATATCTAAACTTACAGCATAATGTGTCAATGGATACACACAATATTGGCAAGAGTAAATGAAAACAGTCTTAAATCAAAAAAGGATTTGGTCTAGTTCAACCAGATCCATGACCTATCCAAGGGCGAGCAAAATAAATGATCGTGACTAACATTTAGCAAACAGAGGTCAATGAAAGTTTACCCAGTCCTTTCGGGCACTTGACACTTACCTTGATAACTGACAGCGTCAAAAATAATAGTGTGAAACTGTCAATAAAGTTCATGGTGTTGAGAATACAATCCAGGGTTAGCAACGTTAGAAAATCCAAGAGCCAATAAGGCGTTATATTGAAGTTTACAGCATCAGGGAGAGCACACCGGCTTTTGCTTCTCTAAAAATGAAAGGTAAACTCCATGTCATGTCCAGATTGTGTATGTATGATCCTCTTACGCATTTCTCAGCTGTTGCCAGTGATATTCATCCCGAAACACGAAAATCCATAATGCACGCATCGCAGCCCACTTCAAAACCTTGAAACCACATTACAAAGATAATCCCATGTTGTTTGCGCAGACGTCTCCAGGTGTGTGTCCATCGGATGTCAACGTGCCACTCTTGCGGACCACACGAGCCAAAAGCGATGTCAAAGATGTTACCAAAACTTTGGGTCCTTCCAATGGCTTATTCCCTTAACTCCGTCCGTGCGCATGGAGCAGGTCAGCGCTCAGACGTTGAGTGCAAAACGCATCAAGCTCCGTTTCCCTCTGCCCGCGTGATTGGATCATAGGAGTGAGAGAGAGGTGTGTCTTTCTTGACTCTTTATAAACTTTTTTTTTTTTGCCCATTAATTTCTTTCATGATATCGCGTCAGGCAGATGCAGGTGGATATTCTAACGTGTCTCTCTCAGAGCTTTATTTGACTAATGAAGAAGCCTTTATGTTTTTGTAAATATAGCACGCAATGAGACGTAGCCTGTATAGACAATGCTTTTTTCCACATCATCATTAGTGGCCTATTAATAGAATCTAATAATATTCTCCTACTTCACCCCTGCAAACACTGCGCGTGTGTCCGGGCACGTACACCTAGATGACTGGTGAGTGCGTGCGTCTCGCTGAATCGCCATCTATGACACACCGTCTCATAGTCAGTAAGACTACGCGCGTCATACGCACAACGTCGTGACTTGGAGGAAAATCAATATATGTCATCAGAGACTCTAGAGCACTGGTCAGCAGACTGTGGTCCAGTCAGAGCAGCAGCCGGGCCGGTGCAAAGGAGGCAGGTGAGCTCCTGTGAGGAGATTTAAAGAAGCAAGAGGGTAAGACTATTGAGAGTGTGGTCATTTGTTACAACATGAATCAGCATAATGTTCACCACATATACAAATAACACATTCTTATACTTTACTTTTACATTTGAGTGTTCACTAAGTCCACTGAATACAATGTATTGACATTAAAACACATTTGACAAAGGCTCATTCATGTTACCTGCTAAATAAACACAATTTAAAAAAAATCATACGACTTAAAATGTCAAATAATTAATTGCTGTCATTATAGTATGCTGTATTTATTTACAGTGGTGTGACCAAGTAAACGTGTGAGCACTACAGTGGGCATTTATCATCTTAGTAGGCCCTCTGCTGGACTGTGTGTGCTTACTCCAAATGAATGGAGATAGAAAATAAGGTGGAAATAGCAAAGAAGTGCTATGTGTCATGACATAACATGGCAGCTATGTCTGTGTCTTCTCAGGCTTACCTGCTTCAACTCATTCCAAGCCTCGGTGGATGGAAAGAATGAGAGCCAAGACTTTCGGGAGGAGCTTACGGGATGCTGAAATGCAGAAAGAGAAAGGACGCTTTTAGGAAGATCCTGCAGTAACACGATCACGTCACAGAGGAGTTCCTTTGGCCTGTTTTAATTGAAGAATAACACATGGGTTCATTAGTGTGAGCAGGCTCTGGTTTCTGCTGACTCAGAGGACCAGCACACCACAGTAGGGTGGTGGATCCTGTTTTGTGCTGATACATTACATACCACACACACACAAGCGCTTTAATCAAATAAAAGTACATTAAACAGACTCCCCTGCATCAGGCCACACCGATGGCACTTTGCAATTAAAGTGAGAAACAAAGCACTTTACATACGTGTAACAATATGTATTATTATGTACTGTATCACGATATCAGTTCACAGTCGCTAACCTATGCCTTTCATAGCCATACCTACAAAACCAAAAGCTAAGCACATGACTGCCTGGGTAATACTCGGAGGGGAGATGCCAAAGGTATAGGTTATGGTTATGCGTATTGTCTCCATAGTGACATTTGTCCTCTGCAAGACACTTCACCACGCTTGGTTTATGTTCGGGGGTGGCCCGAAAGGCCGATGATGCTGATGGTATGGATAGTGCCACTGGTGGGAAGACCGGATTAAGTCAGTTTGTCCAAGGGCAGCTGTGGCTACAGTTTACCATCACCAACAAGTTTGTGTTTATACTGTTGTAAGTCGACTATTTTCTTAGTTTTGAATCAATTCTGTATAATTTATACAACGAAACAGAATGTGTAGTAATCATAGAGATTTTTGTTATTATTTACTGAATTTAAGGGGGAAGTGGAGAGACTTTCACTTTAAAATTCAACACAAAAATCCATACTTCATATGGACTTAGGCAAGGCACAACACGACTAAAAATACGTCCATTTATTTGAAGTCAAAAACTTAAGTCATGCTGACACTATAAGACATTGATGTCCACAGGATTTAGATATCACTAGTGTTTATACATATACACTGTAAAGTAAAGTTTACTTGAAAAAACCTTGGAAATAAATTGCATATTAACTTCACTTGAATTCCTCGAGTACATCCTTTACTTGCCATTACCAAGTAAACTCAAGTGATTGCGATAAAGTTTAAATTTCAACTTATGCTCTGACCAGGATTCGTAATTACAGGAAGGTAAGAAGGTGAAGGTGCTACCCACTCAGCCACCAGGCCACCAGGCCACCCTACCATTGTCACACCTGTCTCATTTAAGAGTCTATAGTCAAAATGTCAAAAGTGAGGCTTACTTAAACAGAGAGAGTTCAATTCAAAGAAAATCCTGAGTGATATAGCCAAGCTTTAAGTAAACTAACAATAAATGAGTAATATTCACTTACTGGGAAAAATCTATTTAAAATAACTTTGATATCTGAAGTACGATTGAAGTTAGGGTTTACAGTGTACCTAAAAAGCAGACAAAAAAAGTAAAACTTTCCATGATCTACAGTTCTGATACAGTGACTTTTATTGCTCGAGACTGAATAGAAGTGATAGCATCAATGAATGAGTGCAGTCCACAAAAGAAGCTATGTGTGTGTGGAACATGCAGGGGTGAAAGTGACATTGTTTTACAGTATAATGTAACTCCATTATGTGACGGCCCAAATTGTAGTAACAATTACCAAAGCACAATGGCAGCGTGCCACACTCTTTCATCACATGGTGCCAAATGAAACATTCCTGCTCTTTGCACCACTCACTCCCTTCTACAGAGTGAACCAGGAGAGCTTTGACTGCAAGGTGCTGCTGACCCCTCTTCTAATCTGACTTTAGTTAAGTGTCTATAAACCTTCAGCGCTCCGACCAATAATGGTGCATTCCCTATTTAAATTATTTTAAATAACACTAGATAGATAAGAATGCAAACAAATGATAAAGATTGCAGGTGTAGCAGGCGGCGAAAAGACTGATCTTTTAGTGTAATTCAGAGCTGGACTGGTCCTTTTCACATGAGATTGATAAAAATAACTATGCTTATCAGTCAGAGTAAAAAAAATAAAATAAACATGGCTCTAAAGATTTTTTGAATTTAGTTATCTTTTGGAAAATATACAGGAAGTGAGAGGACACAACTAAACTGCAAAAATATAACTCTGTCATAAATAAAAGGTTATCGTGTTCTATGTGTATAACAAACTCAGTGTTGTTAAATGTCTTGGAAAAAGGCCACTTTTGGCTTCGAGATGTTCGCTCAACATTTAAAAAAAGATTTAAAACCGTTACACACAGTGAAGACGAGCTGTATCAGAATTTAACAGTTTACTACCCATAATACTTTGAGGCCACAATCTTGGCAACAAGATTCTCATGGTTTATATTTAAGATGAACGATAATGTATTAATTTGGTCCAATGAGAATATTTACTCGTCATTTCATGTTTTATAATGCAAATTAATATCTCAATAACAAAACATATAGTGAGAATGAATTTCATGTGTTTTGCCTTATTCCACCTTCAAAAATGACTGGCTTCAAGGTCAGCCATGCAATAGTGAAAAAGTCATTTAAGATGAGAAATTACCAAAACTTATTTAGGGGCACTAGAGTTTTAAAAGGCAAAAATTGCTCAGAGCGTGACGTCATAGTGACATCATACTATTACAGGACTGAAACAGGAGCTCTTGACCGAAGGGTTAGTGATATAAGCGTGGATGGATCTCATCTTTGATAAGAGAATGTCGTAACATGGACAAATGCTCAAAAACGTTGTTGGTGTAATATGCCTCCTTATAGAGCTGCAACCGGGGTTAATCTATCTTTTTTTTTATTTTTTATTAATCAGATAAATAAGTAATTGTTTTTTGTACTGTTTTATTTGTTAAATTTGACAAAAAACATATTTATTTGGAATTTCTGAATATTCTCATTTCTCATTTGCACGTCGTGAAGGACACATACGCACCTTGCTCCATTCGTAAATGAAGTGGCCAGAACAATGAGAGCAGAGATGACGACGTATGACTTTGGGCCGCAAACTTTGGGCCGCAAACTTTGAGAAGTCCTTCTATGTACGGGCAACATCTGTGGAGCCGTCACCCACATTACGCATTGCTCCTGGTCAGAAAGCCTCTGTCTTTCAGTCTCTCTCTCTCTCCACGGTCTGTAATACATGTCTGTTACACATGCTGCTTCGCTTTATGTAGAAATACAGTGCAGATGTTTATAATGCATGCAAACCAGTCATATCTGCAATAATAATGAAGACTCGGCTCAAAAGGCAACGTATCAACGTATTTCCATTATCAATCACGTCAACGCGTCTGTGCAGCCTCATTCCTTCAAATTTTCCAATCTTGCTAAACCTTTTGGTGAGAGGGCCTCTTTAGTTCACCAGACTAGTCCAGAGGCCAACAACCAGGAATTCAACTTGCAAAACAGTTTGGACTGGATTGTCTGTTTGCTGAATGACTCATCCATGTTGTGCCCCGATCACTAAAACT